TGGCAGTTCAGCGGTTCGAATCCCTGCCGCGTAACGGAGTGAGCTCCCATGACTTGTCTCAGCTTCTGTCAACCTAGCAGTTCGAAAGCATGTAAAAAATGCAAGTAGAAAAATCGGGACCACCTTTGGTGGGAAGGGAACAGCGTTCTGTGCGCCTTTGGTGTTGAGTCATGCCGGCCACATGACCACGGAGACGTCTTCGGACAGCGCTGGCTCTTCGGCTTTGAAACGGAGATGAGCACCGCCCCCTAGAGTCGGGAACAACTAGTACATATGTGCGAGGGGAAGATAAGAAATTAAGAGCCCCCAGTCTGTGTCTACAGCGGTGTGATGATGGGGAGAGCTTCCCAGAAACTTCTCCATCCCTTTGGAGTCTGAAAAAGTGGCATGGAGAATGCCTAGGGTGCCTTCCTTTGGGGCCTAACAGGCCAAGCCACAATCCAGAGGGGTGTGTCTCTCAGTTGCACAAATACCACAGAAAAGCCAAACACACTTCTCAGCTCTTACACAGGAGGGGACTGAAGCCAAGCCAAGGAGACCCTCTTGGCAATTGGTACAAAAAGTGCTGAATATTTCCTTCTTTACTATTACTATTGGCTCATAAGCCTACACTTCAATTGGGGAGACACCGGCCTGCTACTCTTTAATATCCTTTTTTTCAAGCTTGCTGAGAGAATAGCCACACTGCTATCTCTGGTTCTTGGGAGGGAGCAGGGGAAGTTAGAAACATCCAAAGAGTAACAGATTATGGGCAAAACACAGGTCGTCCTCAATTTACGACCACGATGGAGCCCAACATTTCTGTTGTTAAGCGAGACATTCGTTAAGTGAGTCTTGCCCCCATTTTACAACTTTCTTGCCTCAGTTCTTAAGAAAAATCACTGCTGTTGATAAGTTAGTCATCCGGTTGTTAAGCGAATCTGGCTTCCCCCTTGACTTTGCTTGTCAAAAGGTTGCAAAAGGGGATCATGTGACCCCGGGACATAGCAACGGTCATAAATATGAGTCAAGCATCTGAATATTGATCACGTGACCATCGGGATGCTGCAAAGGTCGTAATTGTGAAAAATGGTCATAAGTCACTTTTTTCAATGTCGTTGTAACTTTCGATGGTCACTAAATGAATTGTTGTAAGTCGAGGACTACCTGTATTATCTGAGTTGATATAAAGAAACCATGGGTCAAGCTTGCTTTCCTTATTTCCACCAAGGGCTGCTTGGATGCACAAGTTTACTATCACCGAGAGATGCTAGATATTTCATTAACATTTCTTCCTACTTCTACAATAAAATATAAAACGTTAAGGATAAACATGCTTTTTTAAAACTAACAGCAAGATAGCCAATGTCTTTACAAGTCGGTTGCATATTTCTTAATTGAATGGACATGTGGGGTTGACTTCTTTTAAAAGCACTAATTAAAAGGACCTCAATTAAGTGATCTGGTTGCATCATTGCTTGAAAAGCTTCCCTCTGAAATTGAGCTGACACAGCAGTTTCAATGGATTACCTCCCGCCTCAGGAGCAATGTTTTAAACACCTCCTTGACCTACTCACTGAATTTCTCCCTTTATTTATTTAATTTAGATGGCACCCTGTCTCACTAAAGAAGCGATTCCGGGCTGCTTACAAAAAGATGGGGGGGGGGATTGAAACAAAATCAACAAGGATTTTGAAATTTCAACAAATTTTGAACAAAGATTAAGAGTAAGGGGCGTGTGTAAGTACACCAACGTGCCCTGTCCTACTATCCCCATTTATTCGTATCCTTATCAGTGGTGAAATCTAAATCTTTTTTACTACTGGCTCTGTGGGCGTGACTTAGTGGGCGTGGCAGGGGAAGGATACTGCAAAATCCCCATTCCCTCCCACTCCTGGGGAAAGGATACTTCAAAATCCCCATTCCCACCCCACTCCAGTGGAAAGATACTGCAAAATCCCCATTCCCACCCTATTACTAGAGGAAGAATACTGCAAAATCTCCATTCCCACCCCACTCCTGGGGGAAGGATACTGCAAAATCCCCATTCCCTCCCACTCCTGGGGAAATGATACTGCAAAATCCCCATTCCCACCCCACTCCAGTGGAAAGATACTGCAAAATCCCCATTCCCACCCCACTCCAGGGGAAGGATACTGCAAAATCCCCATTCCCACCCTATTACTAGAGGAAGGATACTGCAAAATCTCCATTCCCACCCCACTCCTGGGGGAAGGATATTGCAAAATCCCCCTTCCCACCCTACTCCAGGGGAAGGATACAATCTGGAGCCAGCCAGAGGTGGTATTTGCCGGTTCTCCGAACTGCTCACAATTTTCGCTACTGGTTCTCCAGAACCTGTCAGAACCTGCTGGATTTCACCCCTGATCCTTATCCTGTATTCATAATCATGTTTGTACTTATATCTGTTATCTTATATGTGTTTGACAAATAAAGAAGGAAGAAAGGGAAGGGAAGGGAAGGGAAGGGGAAGGAAGGAAGGAAGGAAGGGAGGGAGGGAGGAAGGCAGGAAGGAAGGAAGGAGAGGAAAGAAAGGAAGGAAGGAAGGAAGGAAGGAAGGGAAGGAAGGAAGGAAGGAGGAGAGGAGGGGAGGGGAGGGGAGGGGAGGGGAGGGAGGGAAGGAAGGCAGGAAGGAAGGAAGGAAGAAAGGAGAGGAAAGGAAGGAAGAAAGGAAGGGAAGGAAGGAAGGAAGGAGGAGGGGAGGGGAGGGGAGGGAAGGGAGGGAGGGAAGGCAGGAAGGAAGGAAGGAAGGAAGAAAGGAGAGGAAAGAAAGGAAGGAAGGAAGGAAGGAAGGGAAGGAAGGAAGGAAGGAGGAGGGGAGGGGAGGGGAGGGAAGGGAGGGAAGGAAGGAAGGAAGGAAGGAGAGGAAAGAAAGGAAGGAAGGAAGGGAAGGAAGAGAAGGAAGGAAGGAAGGAGGAGGGGAGGGGAGGGAAGGGAGGGAGGGAAGGAAGGAAGGAAGGAAGGAAGAAAAGAAAGAAAGAGAAAGAAAGAAAGAAAGGAAGAAAGGAAGAAAGGAAGAAAGAAAGAAAGAAAGGAAGAAAGAAAGAAAGAAAGAAAGAAAGGAAGAAAGAAAGAAAGAGAAAGAAAGAAAGAAAGAAAGAAAGAAAGAAAGAAAGAAAGAAAGAAAGAAAGAAAGAAAGAAAGAAAGAAAGAAAGAAAAAGATGGCAAGAGACAAAAAAAAAGAGATTAAATTAAAATCCATTACCTGGCTTTCCACCATCCTATCAAAACTGTAAACTCATCGCACGGAGCCCGGGTTTTCGCACACCGCACATGATGCAACGACCAAGTAAGCAAAGTGGGGGAGAAAAAAAAAAAAAACCTAAACTGCAACTCCAGCAGGGAGTTTTAAAAAGCAGGATTCGTGGGAAACAACAAAGCCCTTTCGGGGAGCGCGCGCCCTACACGAGCCAAGGAAATCGGTCGCCCAAAGGGGCAAAGCAGCGCAGCGCGACGACTGGGGAAAAAGCTCGCCGGGTTTGTAAACGCTAGATTTATCCAGCGCGCAAACACACACACACGGTCCGCGCGTGTCGGACATGCCCGTGCATGTAAAGGGACCCAGCGATCGCCCGCTGACCCCGATCTACCCAAAGAGGAACTGATCCTGAACTTCTCCCTGGCGTCTTCCAGCGACTACTAAAACGATTCGCTTTACAACGCTCGGTCGAGGTTTAGGATCGCATCCCCCACGCCCACCCCCAATCGACCGACCCAGATCCAGCTTCCCCGCCAGGCACCAAGAGCAGATTTTGATTCGAGATCAGGGGTGGATGGGAGGGGGCGACTTTTGTGTGTGTGTGTGTGTGTGTGTCCCCATCTCGTGGGGAAGATGGATTAAAGGGACGCGCGGGTTTTACGGGGCAGAACTGGAGGAAGAAGGAGTCGAGGTCCCGAAAGAAAGTGGAATTTAAGGAGAGCCAATACTTGGTGGAGAGAAAGAGGAGGGGGGTGGGGGGGTGGGGGGGGGGAAGTGTTGGTCCTCATCCTTAGGAGATTCTTGTGGCTGACTCTAAACCAGGGGTCTCCCACCTGGGCAACTTTAAGCCTTGGAGGACTTCAACTCCCACAATTCCCCAGCCAGCAAAACTGGCTGGGGAATTCTGGGAGTTGAAGTCCTCCAAGGCTTAAAGTTGCCCAGGTGGGAGACCCCTGCTCTAAACCTTTGCAAAGTCAACCGCTGACAGTTGAATCCTTTGCCACCCTGAGCAATAGATCTCCACTCTCGCGCCTTGGGGGAATCCGCTGCTCCCACCGAGTTGCATCACACTGCAAGCGTCCGGCCCGCTTGCATTCCCAGCCTTACCCCCCCCCCATCACCAACAAGCCCTCTTTACTCCATCTCCCCCCCTCCCCGCTTGTATTTCCCATTCCCCCATTCTTCGGCTGATGCAACTACGACATTCTGATGCATGTTTCTTCGACAAGGACAACCACCAAGCGCTACCACCACCAACCCTCCTTTTTTACGCAATTCTGCAGCGGGAGCAAGCAACAACTGGAGCGCCCGCCCTCCCTCGCCCCATTCCCCCGAAAATGGCAAAGAACGCGGCGGGACACACACACACAGGGAGAAAGGAGGGAGAGAGAGACCCGGATCGCAGCCGGAGACTTCAAAAAGCAAAAAGCAAAAATAAATAAATAAATAAATAAATAAATAAATAAATAAATAAATAAATAAATTTTTTAGATTAATTCCACTGGTAGCAAAAATACACTGAATTAAAATCAAATCCAACAAGGAGAGAGAAAAATAAAGAGAAAAATGGGGGAAAAAAGAAGACCAAATAGCCAACTAAAGAGAAAAAAAAAAAGAGGAAAAAAAAATCAATAATAATAATAATAATAAAAGGCGAAACGTCCGAGATCGGGAGACCAGCAGCGCGCATCTTTTCTTCTCTTCCACTTTTTTTTTCTTTTTTCAAAAAATAATCTTTATTCAATTTTCAAACGTTAAAACACACAGTACAAAAAAATAGAATATATATATATATATTACCTTTTGACGCCTTAACGTTTCGCAGCCTTGGCAGGGCAAATAGCCTTCGACTCCGGCGGGGTCGCAACTCTCCGAATCGGCGACGATCATGGTGTCCCCGTTGTAACGCGATCAACGGGGAGCAAAGGCACCGGAGGGGAAAAAAAGCAGCGATCGGTCGGTCGCCTCCCGTCCCTTCTCTCTTCCACCCCCCCTAAAACTTGCTCCGGCGGTAAGGAGAGGAAGGTCCCTGGGAGGAGGAGGAGGAGGAGGGGGATGTCCAGCGTCGGCAGCCGAGAGACAGAACGTCCGAAAGAAGTTGCAACGTTCTAGAACGTCCAGTTGCATCTGGGGGGGACTCTAGAATCCTCGGGCGGCTGTTCGGCGGGCCGGAGTCAAACTACTGTAGTAGAAAGCGGCATCGGGTTGGGGTGATTTGAAGGGGGGAGACGAGAAGAGCCCAGCGCCCTGACGGGTCCCTCCGGCCGCTTCTTTCATACTGTCGAGAAGTGGCAGGGAGGCGCTGAGATCATTCCGAGGAAGCCTCGGCACCCGCCCTCCAGCCAATCGCGTCGGAGCAGGCGGAGTCCTTTCTCTAGTTAGGCGTCGCCCCTCCGACCTTCTCCACCAATGGGGGGAAAGGCAGCACGCTTGGGGGCCATGGGAAATGTAGTTCCCATCCTGATTGTTGATCTCTTTCAAGGGCTGTCTCTCGCTCTCTCTCTCGGGCGCGCATTCACACACATGTACCCTGAATGCTGGTGCGGAGGGAATATGTGTGTGTGTGTGTGGGAGCGGCGGGGGTGGGGAGTGCTGTTTGCTTCCTCAGGGGCAGGTCCGATGAAGGTTCGCAGGGAGAGAACTCTTCGCTTAACCTCCTTAGCCTTTGTTGAGTTATTCAACAAAGAAATGGGTCTTCCGTGTAATTTAAGAAAGAATAGAATAGAATAGAATAGAATTCTTTATTGGCCGACTGTGATTGGACACACAAGGAATTTGTCTTTGGTGCATAGGTTCTCAGTGTACATAAGGAGAATAAAATACTTTTTTTTATTTATTTATATGCCGCCCTTCTCCGGAGACTCAGGGCGGCTTACAGTGCGTTAAGCAATAGCCTTCATACTTTTGTATATTTTATACAAAGTCAGCTTATTGCCCCCACAAACCGGCTCCTCATTTTACCTACCTTAGAAAGGATGGAAGGCTGAGTCAACTTTAACAACATTAATCAAGAATAAAAAGATACAATACTTAGTGATAGTCAAGGTTACTAAAGAGCTATCAAATCGTACTAGGAAACAAGTAAAAACAATATAATTGAAAGATACAAGCAATTATAGTAATAAGTGGGAAGAGATAAATACTAGTAAGGAAGAGGTGAATAATAGTAATACAGTCTTGGTAAATTATTTGACAGCGTTGCGGGAATTAGTTGTTAAGCAGAGTGATGGCATTCAGGGGGAAAAAACTGTGCTTGTAGTTTAGGCTTTGTTTTATGGTTTTTTTGTTTAATCCTGAGAAAACCATAACGGGAGAGAAGGGGATTCAGTCACAGAATGATATATTTAGAATGTACTAGGAATAGAATGTTGGATAGGAATATTTTTTTAACCTGGAATTCAGTAGAAGACTTTAGATCAGAGTCCTTGGTGCTCTCTTAAGGTTGGTTATTTTCTTGCATGTTACCTAGTTTGGGTAATGAAACGCCTGCAAGAAAACAACCAAGCTCAGAGACCACCCAGGACCCCTCATTTCAACCCTGAGCTACAAATATTCTCCTTCATTGGACTTTGGATCAATTACGGTTTCTCAGCCAACCCACCTCACCTGGTGGTTATGGAGATAAAAGTAATAGTCCTACTGATGCAGATTGCTCGGAGCTCTTCATCTCCAGAGAAGTGGTAGTGGTGGGGGAATAAATCCAATGAATCAATAAAATACAATCCAACTATGTCTATTCAAAGGATCTAACAATCTGGTTATGAATTCAGCACAAAATTTCTTATACCACCGAAATGTCTACATTAAATTTTTGGTACAGGAGTGAAATCTACATGGGTTCATTGTGTATTGAGCATACTGAATCTCATTCAGTATGGCAAAATGTACGTATCAAAAAGAGAAGATGCGGCATGATTAATTCTGCAAGCAGTCTTGCATACTTAAACCACCAGGGGGAAATGTGCTGGACAAAGTCATCCAAGATCAAGGAAAACAATTACGTGGAGCAAATCAAGCTGGTTCTCCACTAGATACCATAATCACTTTTTTTCAAATTTATATTTGCTGATAAAGAAATAAAGGGAGACTGGTATAGATCTATTTCAAGCTATTTAATTCTCATCAGCTAGCCAGACCCTTATTCGGATTTGAACTTAGGCTGCCTGCATATTAGGCAGTTGTATTAACCTCTGAGCCACAAGTTCTCCTCCCTTTATCAGCTTGAGCCAGGGGAGAGATTAAGTGTTTTTCTATGGAAGCACCTGGTCTACCCCAATATAGGAGGGAGCATACTGCTTCCCATGCACTGCTTGAGGGCTCCTGGATTGGAGCTGAAAGGCAAAAGGGAAGCAGTATGATCCCTCCCATATTGGGGTAGACCAGGTGCTTCGATAGAAAAACACTATAGAGAGAGGGTGGGGAAGAGGGAGGGAGGGAGAGAGAGAGTATCCTTAAAATCTTAATGGAAAATAATATGTGGAATTACTCAACATTGAGGTCCATTTAGCATAATGGACTTACACTTTAATAAGTGTATCTTTGATTGCAACTATAATTTGGGTTAATATTCCTAAGAGTGTCAGCTTTCAGGTTTGTAAATGAAACATAATTCAAAAGCAAGAGCGATTATATTCAATAAGACTTCCACTCTGCCTTTGGAGGGATACTGTAGTATGAAATCAAAATGTTTGCAAATGTATGCAGTATTAATAGAATAACAGAGAGCCAGCTTGGTTTAGTGGTTAAGGCCCCTGGCTAGAAATCAGGAGATGGTGAGTTCTAGTCCTGCCTAACCCATGAAAAACAGTTGGGTAGATTTGAAACAGTTCCTCTGTCTCAGCCCAGTCTATCTCACAGCATTGTTGTTATTGTGGGGAAAATAAGAGAGTTATGTATATTTGCTGCCTTGAGTTATTACTAAAATAATAAAATCAGGATTTTAAAAAAATCAAACATGTCTAGGATTGTGCTATTACTCCAATAAACTAGAAGAGATAAGGCAACACTATCATAAATACACAAGGAAGAATCTCACTGCACAATGTATTTGTTCTGGGGCAGGAAAACAAAAACAGAAATAGTTCTTGCAGTGATCCAAGTTATTGACACATGCAAGAAGAATCTGGCATCTGTATGTCATTTGTGCCAAGTTTAAAATCTGGTCAACAGATATTAAAATGTCATTTGAAGCAAAAGGCTTTTAAAGAGAACAAAGCTTAAATGTGCCAGTGAGCTGCCATTAAGTTATTTTTTAAAAAAAATAAAATAACATTAGTTGCCTAATGAGTACAAACTTATCTGTGTTTAAAAGGCAAGCCTTGCTAACTTTGATAGAATTTATTTGTAATAAATGCATATTATTTAATTGCATGCTGGTCCAAGATTGTAATAAAGGTTATCGTATGGCAATTAAATTTTTTAATATAGTAATCTTCAAGATTTGGCGGAGAAACATACACCTCCAAGGTATCTGCTATAAGATTCAAAATTTAAATGTAGAATAATATAAAAAATGTTTATTATGGTTATATTCAGATAACATGCCAACCCATGGCATAATCTAAACATAGTTTGCTCAATAATTTGTCTGGATTTGCACAATAGATTAATTACACAGGCTGAGTGCTTGATAGGGTTGACAATCTGTTTGAAAATTTGTGGTTTGGGGCACTGTGTGAGCAGTCTTATTCTTAATACAGAATCAGCCTAAACCACAAAAATTACCATTATGGTAATCTCCAGAGAAGACCACACAAACCCATGAATCTGGTCTTCACTTTTTGCTTTGATGACATTGATTCACAAATCAATTTAAGAATTGCAGGTAAGGTGGACTATTCTGTTCCTGCTCTGCATGCCTTGGTGACCTTCAGCTAGACTCCATCGTATAAATACCCTGGAAAAGGATAAGTGGACATTTCTGGCTTAATATCAAGGGCCAAGTTGGATTGGATGCTCACTTGGTCTACATTGGCTGCTGACTTGCTCTGAATTGAAAACGCTGCCCTATACTTTAAAACCTACGGAGTGTGGTATCATTGTGTTTGAAGATCTGTCTTCATCCTATAGGAAGCCTATGTCACATACTGGATTTTTTCTCTGTGACATGCCACCCTTGAAAATATAGCTGGCAATGAAGAAACAGGGCCTTTTTAGTAATTGTCATTGCTCAGTGAGTTCATTCTCTCTCCCTCTCTCTTTTAATGGAATGCCAGTATTCCTTCCTTCCTTCCTTCCTTCCTTCCTTCCTTCCTTCCATTTTAATTGTCAGGGAGGGAGTTCACACTTCCCATTTTCTGCCTTTTAAAAATATTTTTTCTTTAATTTGCAGCAATTGGAGTGTACCTGCTTTTATTATGTAAACTGTTTTGAAAGACTCCAGCGGCAAACATTGTTTGACAGGTGAAATAAATAAAAATAAACCTAAATGTTCAAGCCTTAAATTGTACAACCTGATCTTAAGTGGAGGTATGCAAGACTGCATCCTGTGGAAATTCTGAGTGGTTTGAAATGCTCTATGGTCCAACATGTATCTACTCAGGTAAACCAAGTAGGATGGGCTAATTAATTACATATTAGAACAGCTGTTTTATTCAGCCGAGATACAATTCAGTAGACTCTTACTTAGCAATCAGCATTTCCTAAAGTAAGGTGCTTACTTCTGAGTAAGCATGCAGAGGAACTGAATTGAACTGAATTGTAACAGCCTGAACCACAACTCTCTGCTACCGCTATCACTCCACACATGGATTTAAGAATCTTCCCATATTGCTTTGCTATGACTCAGCTGGGGCTAGAGATGTTTTTGTGAGTGACAAACAACATAGGTGTCTCTTCTTCCGTTCTGTTTCTGAGATATGCTAAGGAAACAAACATAGACAGATCATATGTGTATATATATGTGTTGGGACAGTCTTGTCTGTGGAATGTGAAAAACAAGTGCAGCGAGGGATTAAAGGGATAAAGGATATGAAGAGAGAGGCCAAAGGTTCTTTTCCTCGAATAATATTTGTTCATGGGGAGTGCTAATTCTAACTCATAAATTTTGTCTTCAAGATAGGGAATGCTTAAAAACCCACATTTCTGCAATCCCAGGAAACAAGTAAATCACCTTATAAACAAGTTTTGTTCTTGACATCTATCATTGTTTATGGATCACAGTTTGGTTCTTTAAAAAGGTTCTTCCAGGAGAAGGACAAGTTTCATGGTCTTCAGTTCCAGTTCTTAGGAATAAATTGAGGATAAGAGATGACCAGCTTTAAAAACAAAGGGTGGAATGAATTCCTGTTCATATTATAATTGT